CCCCAAAACCCCAAAACCCCAAAACCCCAAAACCCCAAAATTTATTTGTAATATTGAATAATCTAATTCATGAATATAAAGTGCAAATTAATACAAATCTATAATATTTAAAATAAAATGAGAGCATTGCCAAAGTGCAAGTCCTCTCCTGACTGAGACAGAGTCTCTTACATGATCAGGAAGACTGACACAAACATTTTGGAGAAAAACTTGCTTGTCTGTTCGCTTTGTATGATGACAACATACTCAGATCAAGACTCAGAACCCATCCATTATATTGATGCCATTACTGAGTCTCTGAACCTTGGTAAGAGAGCAGGAGTATGAAGATCACGTATTTCTGTCGTCCCTTGGGTTCTAACTTCAGAATAGTTTTTCTATATCTAGCTTCAACTGATTTTTAAAAATGTCTTGTTTCTTTCTATAATTCTTGATTCATGAATCTTCTAATCCTTGGTTAAAGGCGATTATAATGTCAAGAAAATCGAGTTCTTCAAGATTGAACACGGATTGGATCAAGCATGGCATACAGTGTTGCCACAATTTGAAGGCTTCAAGACCACTTGTGATGAACTCAAGAGTAAGTAGATCTAGATAATGAAGCTTTACTTTTTGATAAAAAAATTTACACTTTCTTGCACTCATAATTTATTAAAATATTGCAGCATTAGTACTATCTTTCATCAATATTTACCATATTAATAACTCAAATTTTACAATTTCTTTTAAAAATACGACTTGTTACCTCTATAGAACAACTCAAATTTATCAAGAAGAGCAAGCACTGGGAGCACCTAGTGCATATCCACTTTAAAACAAAGGACTTGATAAACTCACTCTTCAGCTCTGAGCTAATGAAGAACTACACCAAACAACTTCATTGCGCAGAGTTTAGAGAGACGAGAGGATATAAAACCTTTGTCAGCGATGGCATCCAGACTGCTTCCAGAAACAAAGTAAAGAAGATTCAGGAGACTATTATTGCTACACAAGTCAATCTTCTCAAAGAGTCACTCAGAAGAGCAACTGAGAGAGACAAAGAGAAGAACGTCCAACTGGAAAGACTGGAGCAAGATAAGGAAGAGCTCGATCAGACAATTCAAGCTTTGATTCAAGAGAAGAATAACTTCGAGCAAGTTTCCTCACAAAAACAGCAACAAGTTCTAAACCTTACCCAAACAGTTCAGACTCTCACAGAAGAACACAAAGACCGCAATAGCCTCATCGAAGAAATGAAGGAGAAAATACTCAGCCAGGAGAATACTTTAGAGCAGTCCAAACACACTCTCAGCCACCAGGAGTTCAAAAAGGTTCAAAATTCAATCTGCCGGTCTTCAAATTCATTCAACGAGTCTTCAGGCGTTGACATTAACTTGAGCAATACTTCTAGCCAAGACTTATTGAAGACTTTGCAGTTGTTCCGACTCCCTCCTCTAGCCAGTCTAGACGTTTGCAACATTCGTTACTTCAACCATCCTGAAGTAATAACGAAGTTTGTAGAAAACTCTCTGAGCGAACATATTAAGCACTTCCGCTTCAGTATTGGTAATGGCTCCTGCCCTTCGATCTCTGCTTACATGGGTTCTCTCCAAAAGACCCTTCCTCTCATTCCTGACAAAGTAGAACTTGTGCATTGGTCAATAACCAAGCAGGAGTTCGAAGACCTCATGGCTTCTTGTCAGCACTCCAAGTATGTCTATTTTTGAGCCTGTAAAATCTTGACTGACTCAGGAATCGATTTTGGAGATAGATTAGACCAGGCTTCCTTCACTACCATTGACTTTAATTACACTGGGCATAGTAGTTACGACAACTGGAGCAAGAACGGGTTCGTGAAGTTTAAGAATATTGTCAAGGGCTTTGCAAAGGTGGAGAGCATCAAGAACAGACCCATTGACATTCATTTGGGCGACTGTGGAATATCTAAGAGTCAGGCTGAGATTATATTACAGGAAAATGGATTGACAAAGATGAATGTGAAAAGGTTGTAATCAAATATGTACAGAGAAAGAGTAATTCAATAGATCTTTATTAGCTCGGGGTTTTGGGGTTTTGGGGTTTTGGGG